CAAATTTATAAAATCGCTAGCCTCAGAATGTGAATGTTCACATTGGTTGTCACTTAATAACAAGGAAAACAATGAGATATTATTTACAACACGTCTACAAGAATTCACATTTGGAGATATAATTATTTGATCACCATGAATAACCAACAACACCAACAAGTCCGACATTGACATAATGGGGGGAGATAGGGAGTGTATTACAAAACAATAACACATGACAAGATAAAACCAACAATAGTAACAAAAGGTGTAAACGTTTACATTGGTTCCTAACCATGATGTCAATGTTGACATCTATTTTCACTCAAAAACAACAGTTGCCAAAATAATGTAAATATTTTTATTGTCTTAAATCATCATGTAGAGACAATTTACCTTTAATATTCAGAAGATAGTGGAAAATTGGAGGTTCTATTCTAATTATTAAATGACCATCAACAATCAACAACACCGACATTGACAGAGGGGAGAAACATGGAGTTCATTACCAAATCACAACCACAAACAACATTAATAACAATTTAATGTAAATGTATACATCGGTTTATTTGATTCCTATCAAACAAAAAATCAACAACACCAACATTGATAAAGAGTGAAAATAGAGAGTTCATTACAAAATCAAATCCAAAAACAATAACAATAATAAGTCAATGTAGATGTATACATCAGTGATTAGATTAACATTGAGTGAAAAACAGATGGTGGAAGGATGATGCTTATGTTTGCTCCTTATTGTATGAGGGGGGGGTTTGGAAATACCCGGAACTGAGGAAAAACAGTAGGGTTACGGTTTAGGAGTTTTGGTGGGCAACGATGACAGTTTTGGGGAATGAATGATTTGTGGGGTGAAATCTGGGAAGATATGGAATACGAACAATTTTGTTTTGGGAATGGAATAGGTGTGTGCGAAAGAAAGGGTATTTTGGTCTTACTACACTGAATGGACCTAATGGGATAATAAAAAATGATTTGGGTTTTATGGTATGAAAGTCTTAGAAAGGGGATTTATCAAAAAAACTCCTTAAATTTTTTATTAATTTTTTTAGAAAATATGGTAACATTTTTTTTTTATCCCTATCATTATTCTATAAATATAAGAAAATTTTATAGCACTTTAAAAACGTAGGTACTGTATATCTCAGTTATGATCTTTGTGATCTTTGCTTGTAATTTATTGTGGTTATAACTTAATTATGACTTATTGTGATTATTATTTTAATTATGGTCAATGAGATTTTTGGTTATAACTTAAGTGGTATTTGGTTATGATTCATTGTGATGTTGGTTATAATTAGGGTTGCAAACGAGCAGAGCCGAGCTTTTGAATGTTCAAGCTCGTTTATTAAGAATTAGTCGAGCTTGAGCTCTAGTCGAGCTTCAAAAATCGAGCTTGAGCTCGGCTCGTCAAATATTTGTTGAACTCGAGCTCGGCTTGAGCTCGTTTGATTACATAAATGAGCTGAGTTCAAGCTTGAGCTCGAAAAAAAAAATTAAATTTAAATTAATTTACTTATTAAGATAAAAAATAAAATAAAATTATGAGTAAAATATATAAGAATACTTATATTAATAATAAATTTCATCAATCAAATATGTAAATTTACACAAATATCAAATATAAATAAAAAAAAATAGATAATTGAAAATTTATTTAATATATTATTAAAAATAAATATTAATTTATTTATTTTTATGTTCACGAGTCTTATTGAGCCGAGCTTAGGATTACCCGACCTCGGCTCGATTAATAAATGAGCCTAAAAATCGAGCTCCGGCTCATTCATTTAGTAAACGAGCCGAACTCAAACGAGTCGAGCTTGAGTTGTTCATGAACAACTCGGTTCGTTTACAGCCCCAATTATAACTATTGTAAGGCACTATTTGACATCCCCTATATTAGTACACTTTTTTATATTTTTATATTTTTTAAGTCATATCGCATCTCTATTTTTTTGTATATCTTTTTGTGAAAAGTCAAAAAGAATATTTATTTAAATCATTACAAACACCCTCTTAGTATGACGAAAAAGACCTTTAATTATATTTTAAGTGATGTTTAATTATAATCCATTATGACACTCTGTAGTATCAATAACACAAAATATCATTCGCCCATAAAAAAATAAATATAAAATAAAAAAAAAAACATAAAATATCATAACTTATATTTGATATTCCCCATTGGAATAAAATGAAAGAATATAGTAAAAAGGATAAGGTCAATATGTCACATTCATTTTAACCTCTAATGAGGTGGAGGAGAGAGAGAGAAGAGAGATAGAAAGAGCAGTGTGGATCCGCCCTTGATATGGTCCATTCTATGTTATTAGAGGTGAATTAAGAGTGCTCAATTAGAACTTCCAAACATTTTTCTTGGAGAAATGTATATGGTAGAAAGATCCTAATTATCATTTCTCATTCTTTAAACACTTCCACTTGTTCTTCGTATATTTAAGTTTTTTAAGCTATGCTTGAATTTTGAATTTGTAAATAAAAAATAAAAGAAAAGAAGAAGATAAAGAGGTAATAAAGAAGAATTTCTTTAGGATTTAGGCTTATTTTCTTGTATTGTTGTTTTCCTTTTCTTTTCCTTATATAATTTTGTACACAAATTTAAAATCTAAATACAATATTAACGAACATGAAAGGAACACAAGCCATTCTTTGGTTTTCTATATTTTCCCATTCAATTGTGTTCAAGTTCTGTTGGCTTACTCAGATGTGGCAATAATCTCATTTTCTTTTTGATGTTGTATTTATTTATTTTTCCACTGTTGTGGTGTTAGATAGAGCCCTATGAAATGGACAATGCCTGTAACCAATCTCAAAGAAATTTTGTAGACATTTGCTTTTGAAAAAAATTAGGCCCGGCCCTAAGATTTTCGAGATTCAAAGTCAATAATTAACTAATAAATATCATTAGATCATTTGGGCCCTTTTACATATTATTTTTTTTCATTCAACGAATTTTTTTTTGAAAGTAAAGAACAAAAGATTTGTGTCAAAATCACAAAAAATATTTAGCATTACATTGCAACAACTAATAAGTATCACTTGACCCTCGCTCTTCTTGCATTTTTAGAAGCAAATAAATCAATCATACTTGCTTTGAATTTTTTAGAAATTCGTTAGTGTTTTGTTGTACCACTTCTCTCAAATTTTTTAGAAAATTGAATTAACAGTTAGGGTTAGGAATTAGATAAGGAGAGCCCTTTTAATTTTGAATAGACCTTTTAATTTTTTAATGGGTCAATTCATTTTAAGTTAATTTGGGCCTTCTTTTATTTTTTTTTGAACTTAAAACATACCTAATATATTATACTAAACTATAACCAAAGGGGCCCCTTTTTTAGCTCTATTTTGAGGGATCCTAAACCATAACCTGATGAGCCTATGCCCAGGACCGGTCCTGAAAACAATATAACTTTGCATTGAGAAAACAATAACATATATATATAAAACACCACTGTCAAGTGTAAAACTTGCCATTTTGGTGGATTTAGATTTTGCTAACTGAATGTTGAGTGCTTTTAGGATCCGTTTGTTTGCCAGGTTAGATGCAATTATTAATATGTGGGGATTTAATAAAAAAATTATTAATGTAGTAGTTTTAAGTTTGACATATAATATAAATTGTGTTTATTTGTATAATAAAATGATGGTATTAATTGATTGGTATTAAATATTTAAAAATTCTCATCATGTAGAAGGAAAATTTGTTATTTTTATAAAATGAGAAATAAAACAATCATTTCACCTCAAATCTATGGGATTGGATTTGAATACCATTTCTCCCACGGATAGTTAATCTCACTAGAGGGTATAATCCCTTGAGATTAGTCCCATGACTATTTTCCAAACAAATATAATTCTTATGGGGCCATCTAATCCTATTGCATATTGGCCATGGAGGAAAACAAAACATGCCTCGGTTTAAATAACCATACAGTTAAGCGAGTGATGGAGAGGGTGAGAAGAGTGACAGGTGAGTTGTTGGAGATGGCATAAGAGAATGGAGCAATTATACATCGTCCATATATTAGTTTGTTTGAATCATTAGAATTTTAGTTTGTTGGTTATTTGATTAGATATTTGATAATAAAGTGACAGTCGTAGTTAACAAGAGTGACAATTACGGTAAACAAGTGTTGTACCGGTCGCCCGAATAATCATCTCCTAATCGTCCTGCACAAATTCAAACGATTCAGACAAACCCAAATTCAAACTACCAATCATTTGGTAGCCAGAAAATGATAAAGATAATATTTTGATAGGATAAAAAGCATTTATTGTCTGTTTTTATCATTTTAGTTTTGTAAACTTTAATTTTTTCAATTTTATTTTTTAATTTGAATCAAATTATTCTAATTCCAAAATGTTTTTAACAAAATAATTATAAATTTAAACTATAATCCCTAAAGTTATAATTTTATCAATTTCATCCCTCAATATTATGAAGTAACATTTTATTTTCATCATCAATATTTTAAGACTACATTGACAAAATTTAATTTAAAAACTATAAAGACCAAAGTCTAGCAAAAATTTGTGTGTTTCATTATTAGTCCGTTTACTATTTAATCGATCCATTTAAAATTGAATCAAATTAATTAATTCAAATTAAAACTTTTAAGAACAAAATTGACAAAACTTCAAAACCTAAAAGAAGTGACACCAACAATATAATTCAAGGACCATACGTATACTTTAACCTATTTTGATAAATTTAAGAAGATTAAAACACCTATATAATTAATTTTCATTCATTATAATTAAAATATTCTCCCCATTGTTTTCCAAAGAGGTCAAAAAATAGTAAAACCATGAAATTTCGTCATCCTAACACAGTTCAGACCCCTCAAAACACACAAAAAACAGGCCAAATCTGGGATCAGATATCATCTCACATTTCTTACTATAAAGAAAGCCACTGCCGAAACTGGAAAAATCTTTTGTTATGGCAAAATAGAGTGAGCCGAGAACGTTAAAGCAGGCCATTCCACACAATTAGCACCACATCTCCAAACTATATTTCAAATTCTGAATCAAAATCAGACAAGTTTGTTTCCCTTTATGTTCTAAATACTTCTCAGGAGTCAAATGAGATTAAAACAATTAGCCACAGTTCTTGCTTGCTATGCAGCCACCAATGTTTATTTCCCTAAAACACAAACAAAACTAAAAGCTACAAATAAACTAAGCAAGAAAAAAATTCAGAGATCTCGAGAGAGTGAATTGTCAGCAGAAAACCACAACGGTGCTCTCCCTCCCTACAACTCATCCTGCAAATACAAACCAACAAACGAGATATATAAAAGTGGATCCTTTGTGGAATTGATATTTTTAAACAATTAAAAGTAGAAAGAAATCCTACATGTGCACTCTCTTCTGTATCATCAGCCTCTTTGTCAGTTTCATCATCATCAGCCTCGGCATCATCATCATCACCTTCAGCCTGTAAAAACCAGTCTATCAAGATTAGGACATGGTTAAAATAAACAAATTATATTGTTGAGAAGAATTCGTGGCACTTACATCAGAATCTACAGGATCATCCTTTGATTCCTGGCAGAAAATCAAATTGAGAAGTTGGCAACAAGACATGGAATAGCAGAATCAATATTGTATTCAACCAAATAAATGCACTGATGACTCAGAGAAGCTAGTTAAACATGTTCAAATCTGACAAATGTTAATACATGTTCTGATATCCATTCTGCCTGCATTGATGCATTTCTGGCAAAATAAATACTAATGTTGTGCTTGGTTCATGGATTAGGGTACAGCAATTTGAAAAGGAAAATGAAAATAGAGAAAAAAAAAAATTAGCTTATATTTCATTCTCATTTGCCTCATCTTTTCCCTTTTCTGTTTCCCTTTTCAAATCCTTACCTAAATCTATGATCCAAACACATCCTACGAGGATACTATTACTGAATTATTTATAGTTGCCAATCTAGATTTCACAGCGGAGATATTAATAATAGAAAAAATGCAAAGATTTATTAAATGAGATATTAAATAACAGCAATTATGAACAAAAAATAATACCTCCTCCTCTCTTTTCTTCTCTGCCTCATCAAATGCTGCCTTCTCAGCCTGCAAAAATCAAATATAATCTCAAACTTCAACAATTGGAAGATATTTTCAAAAAGAACAAAACTTGCTTTTGAGGGGCAAAAGACAACATACATCCTTTTGTTTGCCCCATGTTTCCTCTGCCAGCTTCATCGCATACTCCGGATCATCACAAATCAAGACATTGTCAAACAGGGTTCCAGATTTCACCTGACAAAATTCATGCAACTTGCTTAGTCATAGTCACAATTCCATAAGAATGATAAACCATTTATAAGGGAAAAAACAGAAATACCTGCCACAATTCAATGCCCACATACTTCAACTTCGGGAAAACATAGATTTCAGGGTCATCTTTGAACTCTGCATATAGTAGCAATTTTTCAGTGTTAATGAAACATGTAACTAAAAGATGTAGACTAGAGATAATACATGAAGCCTTCAAAAAAAGAAGGAAAAGCAACCTGGGTTATCAATCATAGGTGTCTTCCACTTGCCCTGATAGTTGGGATTCTTAATTTTCTGAAAGCAGGAACGAACTTGTTATAAATCATTGGTCTCCAATCACAACACTTACATAAATTTAACTTCGAAATTCCACAAACCTTTGCCTTCCATGGACCCTTGTACTCTGGGTTATCCATTGTAGGGGGTGTCCACTCACCATCTTCCTCATCATCCCAATCTTCAGGCTGAAATTGAAAGCCATCTTACTCAGTTACTTTCACCAAGAATTTCAAAACACAAGTACGCAATACTGAACAGAAAATTTTAAATGACTTACCTTTTTGGCATCAGGATCTGGTATCTCCTTTGGGATATCATCATAACCCTGTCAAAACAACAAAATGTTCAGTCCAACTGCAAAACCCATATTCTCAGTTGCCAAATAAATTTAGGAAAAAATAAGAATGATTTATTAATTAAATGTTCACTACCTCTGGTTTCTTATCTTCAGGATCAGGAATGAATTCTTTGTCATCCCAATCTTCAGGCTGTCATCCAATAAGCAGTTTGGTCATTATCAAAAATTTAAAAAAAAAAATTAAATAAAAACACTGAATTAGTCAAACATGAGATAAATCATCCAACCATAAGCAATTACCTTCTTGGCCTCAGGGTCCTTGATTTTCTTTGGGGGTAGAAGGTCCCAATCAGAGTACAAGCTGCCAGTTTGCTTCTCAACATTGTCAATGAGGATGCTGTAGGTAGCATCTGGACGAAGGATGAATGTGTAGACATGAGTCAGCTGGTCAGTCTCACAAGGAACTTCCTTCTTGATCAAGTGATTTGTGTCATTGTATGTAAGAATAGCATGAACTTTCTTGGTGCTGTAGCCACAGATATCTGGACCAAACATGATACTGCAAACAACCATGTGATAAAGCAAATGAAAAACACATTATCAGAGATAAGACACTTCTACTGGAAAGTAAAAAAGGGTCTCTGTGTTACCTATATGGCGTATCACCACCGAATTTCTTTTGATCAATTCCACTGCTAAGCAACTTCATGTAGCCACCGCCACAGTCAAGCTTCTGTTCATGCTTAACAGAAAATTGGAAAACCAATGTCTTATCCTTGTTGCTGAATTCAGGGAATTCAGCTGAAATAGCATAGAACCTGTAGTCTTCGCTGGTCTGGATGCCTGCGTTAGGACACAAAAGTCAAATCAAGTAAAGATCTAAAGAAAACTTTTGTAAGGCTGAGAGGTCGTTTGGCAATAGGCTAATTTAGCCAGCCACTGAAAAGGCCAAAAAGCCATAAAAAAATAAAAATAAAAAAATCAAAGACTACTTTCCATTCTGTCTACTTTTTGGTACAATTTTCAAAAATAGCCAAAAAGTCATTCCTCAGCTTTTTTCATCCCATATTTTAGTAAAAAAAACCACCTTCCAAACGAACCCTAATCCATTAGGGAAAAAACAAAACTCTGAAGAAACATGTCTGTTGTAGTGTTATTTATCTGGACCATCATGTAGCATAGAACTCCCAGACACACACACACACTAAAATGCTACATTCTAGATTGATGATGTAGTGTAGAGGTCAAGCAAAATTGTATACTGTCATAGATATATTAGAATAAAAAAAAGTAAAAAGGTACCTTTATCCTCAGCATCTCCATTCCATTTACCAGAAGTAAAGTTCCACTCCCCAGCCAAGTTTTCATCTTTCTTCCAGTCAGATTTAACCCACCGATTCTCCCAGCCACCATCTTAAAAAAGTACAACAACAAAAACACATAATGAGGATGAATGTCAACCCAGAAAGTCCCAGATGCTTTTATTAAAACAAAAAAACAGAACTGCTTAAGCAATTCACTTGCTACAACAATGGACAACAAAAAGTCAAAAGCACAACTACATATATCTTTGTTTCTAACTTCTCTTCACCAATAGCATCTTGTTGATGTTAAATGTAAGCGCAATAGAGGTAATGCATTCATACGTAATGTGTATTGGGGGATTTATACATAGGGAACACATACAAAATGTTTAAGCTACACAGTTGTTGATTTTTTACTAATTAAAATTGCAAATTAAAGCTCGTGCATAGGTAATTTACTCTTATTTCATTTGAAACAATCAGTATTTACAAAATCAAACTACAGGAAGCAAACACAAATCCAAAAAGCAATACAGATAAGGCAACACAAATCAATTCCTCAATAGATCCACTAAACAGTCCTAGTTCCAGATGAATTCTGAAGTAAAAAAACAAACTACTGATTCAAAATCAAGAGATCGCAACATAAACCATAACAACAACACCAATCTTCCATAACAAAGATCAAATTCAACTTCAATTAACTACCTAAAAACCCTAGTCCTCCGAAATGCAAGCCAAAATCAGTAATTAAAGCAGCAGAGAAAAAACGACCTAGAGAGAGAGAGAGAGAGATCGGACGTACCATCAAAACGTTCTTCGAAGAACACTTCAGCTGATGCGATCGCGAGGAGAGAGAAGAGAATGAGGGAGACAACACTAGGGTTCCATCTCTCCGACGCCATGGCCACTGTGTGAGACAGAGAGAGAGAGAGATACAGCCTAGAGAGAGAGAGACGTAAATATATAGTGGTTTCTACGGTGGGGATATGATCGATGTTAACGTCCGAGCTGGACAGTGGATGTTGACGTGGACGAATTAGAGAAAGACATGTCGGATTTGAGTGTCATGGGTGTCACGTGGCGGTGAACAATTGGTAAACTACACGAATAGGAGCGATTGGGGAGTACATGACAGATGGACAAACTTGGTTGTGTAATTTTATGATATTAGCCATGTGATTTTTATTTATGATTGGGGAGTACATGACAGATGGACAAACTTGGTTGTGTAATTTTATGATATTAGCCATGTGATTTTTATTTATTTTATATTATGGGAATAACATTTTTTTTTAACCAGACTTCTTGATTTTTGAACAAAATGACCTTGTCCAGGGACAATATATTTTAGTTAAAAGATTAAAAAGTATATTATATTATTATTTTTTATATATACTTTTTTAAAAAATTAAGAAATTATTAAAATAGTATGTTTCTAAACGAGGTCTAGTCTGGCTAAATTAGCTTGGTTTAGAAATTTTTTTTTAATTATTTTAATTTTTTGACTTTTTGTGAAAGAAAAAGTAAAATAATTATCATTTAGATGTAACATTTTATCTTATTAACTTGTAGTCTATTTTATCTTTTGATAATTCTTTTAGTCTCAATTCAAACCCAACCCACTTGTCAAACGGCATTTATGTAAACAGTGATTTTGCATGTGAGTCTTAAATACCTTGATTTGATTTTGAATAATGTCAATTAATATATTAACAGATGATGTGATATGATTTTAAAAGTTTTTGATATTTATAATTTATATAATAAGTGGAGTCAGTAATAATATTATAATGAATAATACTATGTGCACCAACTAATATACCAATCGATGGTATAACGTAATTTAAGAGATTTTTAGTATTTGTAATATGATTAATGAGTGAGGTCAATAATAATGTCATATAGCACAATCGTTTGATCTTAGCCAAAAAAATGGGGCAAATTTTTTTAGATGCTATACATGAGTTTAGTGGAAAATTATTTAATGTTATTGTATGTAATTCTCTAATTTGATTTTATTAAATTAAGGTGTAAATTATAAATAAGTTTGTTTAAAATATTAATTGTCTTTATAATTTTAAAAAGAATAATGCTTGGGACCCCCTTTTGGGGGTCACCCCCTCACCCCCTTTGCCACGTGGCAGGGGGTGATTGAAGGAGCAGGAAAAAAAAGAAAAAGAAAAAGAAAAGGTAACCAATGAGAGAGAGAGGGGGTCAAAGGGGGTGGGTGGAAAAGGGGGGATGAATCATTACTCTTTTAAAAATTAGATCGCATCTCTTAAAATTTTTAATTACGTAATAAATAACATCTTTTATTAAGTCTATTAACAGTTTTTAATGGTATCAATAATATATTTCAATTAATAATTTTAGTAATGGGTAGTTATGAATTTTATTTTTGTCAATTCTATTAGAAGACAAATCTTAATAATAGAGTATTTTTAATTTAGGAAATCACATAAGATAATATATAGTTTAAATAAATTTAATAAATGTATTTATAATTTACTCTAATTTAAATGAAAAGACCTGTGACTTTTATATTAACTTTTAAAAAATAATTAGACAAATGACACAATTTAAATGGTGTAGAGTATTGCTTTAAAGAAAATGTTTCGTAACTCAAATTTTGTGGCTCAAAAGTGGCTCAAATGGCCAAAACGACGTCGTTTTGGTCATTTTTATGTTGTTCTGTACTCAAAACGACGTCGCTTTGGCCATGTAAACCACTTTTAAATCACAAAATTTGAGTTACGTAGCATTGTCGTTACTTTAACCATCGAATAGTCTCTCGAGTCTAATTACACAATGAACACGTGAACAACTACGTTGATCCATTTGAGAGTCTTTCTTGATAAAATAAAAGAAAATTAAAAAAAAAAATTACAAAATAATCTAGTGAGTTTTGGAATTTGTAAACAAAAATAAAAGAACACATAAAATATAAAATATAAAAAAGAAGAAAAACAACTATTCTTTTGTTGAGTTATCAAAATAAGAAAAAATGAATATATACGTCAAAAATCATTTATGCGTACTTGAATATCTATAAACAATTTAATTTCCCTTCCATTTTTTTCTTTTATAAATGTACAATCTAAACATGGCATTAATTAAGTTGAAGATGTTTTGTTCTTTTTTTAATCCAATAATTGAATTTAAAACACATATAAAAGTCTTTTTGCAAAGAGGTAAATTTAGATAAAATAGTGATTTATACTTTCTAGAGGGTTCTTATGTAACATCTACTTTAAACTAGCATTAGATTTAGAGTAATACCCATAATAACAATAATAATACCCACTATTCCATTTTATATGAATCATAGGGTGTTCCACAAAAGTAATTAATAAAACAATCGTTCACATTATTTAAATGAATTTTGTTAATAGATATCACTGTTTGATTTAAGAGTAAACTACCAATGGTTCTATTTTTGAGACTTATTACCCATTAAGTCTTATTAATAAATTTATTAAGTGAAAAAGATAAATTTATCAGTCTTTTATTTTTATGAATAAATTTATAGTGATAAATTTATCAGCCTCTTTTTTCTATGAATAAATTCATAGTGATAAATTTATCAGTCTCTTATTTTTATAGTGTTAAATTTATTAGTTAGGACTTATAGGTAAATAAGTCTAGTTAATAGGATTGATTGGTAAGTACCGCTTGATTTAATAGATAAAACATTTTTTTATCGGATGAGATAAATGAGTTGAATTAAATTCATTGCATTCTTCTCTATTATAAAGATTAAAAAAAATATATTGTTAACAAAGAAAATATTATTCAAAGAATTCAATTGATGTGTCATAGTTTCTATAAGAAATTGAAAAAGATTGAGAGAGCAAATTAGCTCTGTGTTTTTGATTGTGTATTGCAACCAAATGGAACCTCCATTATATAAGAGATGTTTTACAAGACAAAATGATGAAGCCACCGAAAGATAGCAAAAGGAAAAGAAAGCAACTCTGTGCTAGGCTAGCAACAACTATGCAACAACTTGGTGGCGTTGGAATCGTCCGGAGGAGACGAAGGCTCTGGTGTGGTGAAAACTGTATTTCAGAGGTGGACGAAAAAGGGATACAGATGAAATGCAATCTGCAGAAAAAATATGTTGGAAGAAGAGGCTAGGCAGAAAACCTGTGCTCTGATACCAATAAAGATAAATTTATCAGTCTTTTATTTTTATGAATAAATTTATAGTGATAAATTTATCAGCCTCTTTTTTCTATGAATAAATTTATAGTGATAAATTTATCAGTCTCTTATTTTTATAGTGTTAAATTTATTAGTTAGGACTTGTAGGTAAATAAGTCTAGTTAATAGGATTGATTGGTAAGTACCCCTTGATTTAATAGATAAAACATTTTTTTATCGGATGAGATAAATGAGTTGAATTAAATTCATTGCATTCTTCTCTATTATAAAGATTAAAAAAAATATATTGTTAACAAAGAAAATATTATTCAAAGAATTCAATTGATGAGTCAAGTTTCCAATCCTCTATCCTCACCTTGACTTGTTACAATGTACATTTATTTAATTGATTTTTCATTTTTCTCTTCCTCTTGGATTTCTTTCAATTTGCTTGCCAAAAATATTCTTTTATATATTTTTTTGTAGGTACCTATAAATGTATAATTTGTAAGATGCTAAATAAATATGTGTGTGTGTTTTGAAAATTTTATGGGGTTTAAAAAAATGAATGGCAAGGGCAAAAGATCCAGAGCATAAGAAAATGTAGATAGGTTAGGATCATTAAACACTAAAACAGTCCAAAAGTTGGCCGGCACTCGCTCTTTTTATCTTGTGCTTATCTGGTTTTAGATGCTTTAGTTAGAAGCCATTGAAAACTTCATCACTAAGATAGTCAACCCTACCTCTTCTTCTTTTTGGGAAAAAAAAAAAACTGTTAATTTCATTTTGAAAAATTCTATAATACATATATAAAAATGCTCATGACTTGGAGACCGCCAATGACCTCTAAAATGATGTGAACTAATCATATTATTTTATTTTTTATTTTTTTTGTTTTTTTTTTCTTTTCTTATTGGACCAATCACAGTATGACGTTTGTAATATTTAGTTATGATTTATTGTACTATTAGGGTATGTTTGTTTGGACGGACTGGATAAGAGCAATTGTAATCCATCAGACTGTTAGTCCCGGGATACATTGTCCCTGGACTATTCGGTTGGATTGGATTTGTATCTATGTTTGTTTAGTCATGAGATTAGATGTCTGGATTAGACTATTTTTAGTGAATCCAATGTTTGGTTAGACGGACTGGATAAGGATAATGTTCAAAAGACTATTTTACTCTTGTAATTTATAATTTTTATTTAATATATAATTTTAAATTTGTAATCTATAATTTATAATTTATAATTTAACAACACCAAAAAAATTTAATTTATAAGGC